GCCTCAAGTCTATGTTGCTTGTCTTAGAAAAATGGTCATTGACTTACTGACTTGAAGATTTCAAAATATAGAAAGAAAGGAGTGTTCTTTGTTTTCATCGAGTGCAAAATAACCAGCTACAGCTTGCCTAGGCTGTCTGCTCATCAGTCCTTGACACTGGCTGTGAACATTCCAGAAGAAGAAATAATGGGGTGGCAAGGCAGTTAATGGTGAATGGATTCCCCTGAGGGAAAATATGAGGCATTCAGAAGTGCTCTGAGTTAGAAAGCACGATTTTGCATTTGTAACCCATTTTCTTGGGTTGAGGGGTCTTTCTCTATAAAGGCAGTAGAAAAACGTGGTATGGAAAAGTAATAGTCTCCAGAGGCTGCTTACGAACTATACTATATTGCACCTCTAACCTTGGTAATGTTTTGATTATATCACATACCAAGTATAGTCCTTAGACTTGGTGGTTTTCCTCAATCCTGGCCTCTTTTTATATCCTAAGTCAAAAGTTAGAGCTACTTAAAAATGTTAATGGGTAGAAGATAAATGTAAGCAAATGTTCAGTATTAGGAATAGATCCACATTGTCTCTAACAAATAATTGAAGAACATTTTTAACATGAAAGAAGTAACTAGGAACAGAATTAAAGTAAATGGTTTGTTGCAAAACAGTGAGGTTAGTCAGGTGATATGTAAGAGGATTTTAGCTGTGGCTAAAACATGTTCATTGAGCATACAGATATGTTTGGATTCATTTTATGTAGTCACCTTTCTTCTCTTCTGCGGGTCAGACAAGTTACAGCCCTCCAAGGCTTTGTAATTTTTGTTTTCAAGAGGTGGAAACTTATAGGTGATGCTAAAGCCCTTTGATCCCATAACTAGAAGACAGAGCTCCGTCAGTCTGACTCCACAGTTCATTTCTTTCCACCATCTATGCTGCTTTTATTTTTTCAAATTAATAATTAAATTAATTGATAAATTTAAGGAGGAAGTTACTCTGCAGGAGTCATAGTAAACATAATAGGTCTCCACTGAGTGCCATTGCCAATGTATTTGTCTCTTTATATGTATATACTGCATAGTTTTCTGTAACCTGGCCTTGTATATGTAATATAAGTAGACTGTACTAGATCACTTTATTGTGTTAGGCACGAAAAATAATTGATTCATGTTGAGTTTTTCTTAGATTTCTTGATTTGTGCTGTATTAAATCGGAAGTGGAGGGAAGTGAAGCTGAAATTAAAATCACTCATTTATCTAAATCATCATACATGGAGAGAAACTTCCTGTCTAGCTGGACCTTGCTCCTTTGTTGTTGTTCTTTTTTTATTTCATTCATCCAACATTTAAGAATCTCTACAAGATGATAGTCTTTGTATTAGAGAAAAAGATCATTAATGCATGGTCTCTCTTTCTCTTGGTGGGTTCTAGTATGCATGTGTTAGCAGTACCATGTTAAGTGCTTTAAGAGAGATGTGAATTCAGAGAGACACCCAGATTAAAAATTAGTGTTCTGAATCTCATCCACAGCATTCCACACCTTATTCATGCAGTGAATATGATGGTACCTCCCTAACTTTCTCAGGAATTAGTTGGCCTTCCAGATTAGTAGTTAAGGGTGGTAGCTTTGTTTTACTTTCTGCGGGGCATTTGGTCTTTTTCCCCTTTCTTAGGACAGGTATATGCTGTAGTTTTTCCATTTCTACAGTAATGGAAAAAGGAAATCTAGATACAGATGAGTTTCAAACTGTTTCTGGCTATATTCTTAAGAGGAATATATACAGAACTGCAAGTTCAGATGTGATTTTTTTTTCTTGAAAGAGAAAATGGAGGTATGGGGAACAAGAAACTCAATATATGCCAATGGTGCTTTTAAACTTTACTCTTATTAGTAACAGCAACTCTGCTAGTTAAGAAAACAATATTGGGAAATGTAAATTATGCTCTATGGCATAAGATAATCAAGAAAATATCCTTGTCTTTATATATTCTATGGCATATCACAGTTGGTTTAGGTATGTTTGGTATGGAAGGGAGTTTTATTAGTGACAGAGTCCTTTGGAATACCAGTCTGGTTAGTTTAGTTTAATAGATTGACATGTCATAGAGTGCCAAGAACTGTTAAGTTCTTAATAACCACCAAGCATATATTTCTGAGAATACAGTCTGTCACCTGGAAATCATTAATGAGGCCATCAGACCTCTTGAAGAATGGAGGAAGTCCCTGGAGCTTCCACAGTGCTGTAGTTAGTGCATTAACTAAGTTTATCACATGAAATATATTGAGTGTATGTGGAGTAAGGAGAGAGTAGACACTGGGTGGAGACTTTACTCTTGACAAATAGACTTGATCGTTACTTTTTTGTTGTTGCCTAAATAAGTCATTTAACTGATATATTATCAACTAACCTTCAAACTGGTCTAACAGCATTCTGAATAGTAAATATCAGTTGTTAACAAATGCGGAACTCTGTCTTATTATTTATACCATTGCCCAGTACCTAGACTAGTGTCTGCTACCCATGAATGTTAGGTGCTCATAAATGTTAGGATGGATTAATTTTCTCAAAGTGGTTATTTTTAAATTAGTGTATCTGAAGATTACAATAATTTACTTTGATGTGATTTTAATCATGGTCTAGCTTAAGGCAAGTTTTGAAGTCAAGAACTGTCTCTTAGGCTTGATATTTAGTAGCAATAGCTGGTGTTTAGCAATTACTGACCATATTGATTGATTTCATATTATGTATAACAAAATAATTAGTTTAATAGCTCAGTGTAGTTGCAAAGTAATTAGAGCCATGCTCAAAGTATCAAATAGTGAGAAAATGAGTTTCTGATATTTCAGGTGGCTAGTTATTTGGACTGATGGGTAATCCTCCTGATTATCTTCTTCACCCTGACAGTTCTTGCTTGGTGGCCCATCATCACTCTCTTGAACATTAATATTAGAAGATCTTCAGGTTGATCAGGGCTTCTTTCATTTTGTCTTCTCCATCCCTACCCTCATTAATGCCTTGAGATCAATTATTGAGTGTTCACAAATGATTGCCGAATTTCCTAACCATGACCTCTCCTGAACTCCAGACTTATCATCTAACTGTCTGTGTAACAGAGCCATACTCAGATATCTAAAATCAAATTCAGGACTTTCCCTATACCTTGTTCTACTAATACGTTCTCAGCTTATGGAATGGCAGAACCAGAACCTAGGAGTTACCCTTGACAGCTCCTTGTGTATAGTCCACCATCAGAGGCTGAGGATTTGACTGTTACCACATCCTTAAGCCAGGCTTCCATGATCCCTTATTTAGACTAATGTAGTAGCTTCCTGACTTGCCCCTGTATCCTGCTTTCTCCCTTCTAATCTGTTCTCCTTATTATATGGCCAGAGTGATTATTTTATTTTTATTTTTATTTTTATGTTATGTTATGTTATGTTATGTTATGTTATGTTATGTTATGTTATGT